CAAACTCACTTGGATTGTTTGAATTTTTACAATCCATGGACACCTTCATAGCACTATTTGCATGCCTTGCAGCCTTACCAAACAACACCACATTGGAGTGGTACTGAAATATTGACAGTTTTAACTTTTCCAAACAAAATCAAGGCCAGGCGTCACGATGAACCAAACCCCATAACGTGCGGTTGGTTCACTTAAATACACAAAAAGTCATGTATATATCAGTGAATGCTTCTCTTGAGAATTATTAAGTTTACACTTTTGTATGCAATCATAGAAGGGACATTGTGGCATTGCTGCCGCAACCAAAATGTTTTAAAAAGGCGTTAAAATGTGCGACAATGCGACATATTGATAATGTCGTGTTGCCGCCCTATTCGATTAATGGTGAGTAAGTGGAGTTATTAAAACACATCTGTGACGTCATTCTATTGTTTGAACGCTCCATTATTTTTCAGGAATGGAGAGCTGCTTGTCAACTGTACATTATCTTGAAGCAGCATTTGAATTTTTCAAATATTTTCAACTACAGAATATTTTGTCAAAGTGTAAAAGTAGGGATGAGTTTTAAGTAGGGGAATATCCTCGTAACTCTCCATTCCTTAAAAATAATGGGCCTCGGCCCCTGCGGGGCCTCTGCTCCATTATTTTTAAGGAATGGAGAGCTACTCGGACATTCCCCTCTACGTAAATTAATCTACGCATGCGTAGCAATGGTTTTACTTCCTTTCAAAATCCAGTGGTCTTTTTTTAGCTCCAATGGTTCATTTCTCAAAATGAAAACAAATCCTTCATCGTTGCTTTGGACATTAGTTCATATATCGTTATTGTCAGCAAGAATCAAACACGTTGTATTTCTACGTGTAAGTCTGCAACATCTTTTCAAATCGACGAGGACACACGGTAGGCCCTGTCGTTTTAGACTGCGCAATTCGCTGGCATCGTGGGTTCGAATCCAAGCACATACACATTCCTCCCTAATAAAGCTGACACGCTGTGAAATAACTGAAATTTTGTAAGTTCAAATCTGCGTTTAACCACAGGTCACGTTAGTCACGGGAAGTCCTTGGATGGGTGACCGTGATCGGCTCCCTGGCTTAGAAACGGTATGCAGGTTATAACTGCACAACGTTGCAATCAATAGTATTAACATCCATGTGGGTATCTCGAATCCTAAAGTATCCGTCCTCGTGTTCAATTTCAAATTATATTTTTCAAAATTACAGGAATTTCACGGAGGGCGTATTGATTTGCTTTCGAATGTTCCCGTTTATTTATTGACAAGAAAAACATTAAATAATTTAATATATATAAAACGTCAACGCCGGAAAATAACCAGTCTCGATTATCAGCCGAGTTCCATTGAACGGAGGAGGCAAACCAGTGATGAAAACTATATGAATGGATCATTAAAGATCAGTAATGACACCAGGTATTCGCGAAATGGAAAAGCATGTGCTCCTCTGAGGGTAGCACCCACCATTCAATCGATTTACATGAAAACCAAACGCCGCACAGCAGTGCTCCTTCCATACGATGCCTGTTAACAATCGAATCTGGACCAGAAAATCCAGTGACACTATACCATGCATTCTGATTTTGTTAAAACAAAAATGATATGTTAATTTTGAATTACGTCTGCTGAGTACGTATGCCTCAGGGGCCAACTCATAAACCTTCGCATACCGTCAATAAGAATAATCTAGAAACAACGCTTAATATTTTACGAGAGCTTCAATTAGCTGCTACTAATGTTCAGCAGAAATAAACTTTAACAACAAATACTGCATCTTTCCGAGGTAAGGGAGTTAACTGACTTTAAAAGTCCAGTTGTTTCCACTCTTGCCAAACTAGGCTGGAATTTCATGGCTCGATCGTAGCGCCACCAGTGGCTATAACGAGTTATATCTCTTCAATGTCCTTCCTATTGACCAATAAGATTCCGTCGCTCATATCGCTTGCATTTGCATCGCGGGGCCCAGCCTAAACGATCTGATCGATATTCAAAATCTATATTGTAATAAAAACGGATCTTGCCCCGCGACGTGCATCCAATGACATGAGCACCATGCTTAAAAACATAAAAATATTTACAAATATCTGTCGACGCCAAGTTGGCGGTACACATGCTTTGTAAATCACACATAACTCTCTACAGGCGCATTCTGGTGTCAGGCGCACCCGGATCATGAAGACAGTTACGGGATGCATGAATGATTCTGAGAGTTATGAGAGTTTTCGCATCGTTGTGAATTTATTTAGGCGACTCAAAATAATGAACACACAATCATGTAAAAGAAGAGGAACTAGGCATTATAAACTAAGCGGCAAAAGAAAGTATAGGTTGGCAATTTGTTATTTTCCTAAAAACAGCGATAACTAGTGGACAGTGGGTATTGGGAATATGGCTGCCCAGGAACAGGTGTCAAAAAAACCTCACCCGAACGCGCCAGTGACAAAAGAAATGGTGAAACAGGTTTCCTGCCTATGGCATAAACTGCACGTGCATGTTAGCTGTATAAACGCGTTCGTCTGCAGGGTATAACACATGTGATGAAAGTACACAAAAGAAATGCCACGACTGCTGAAATGGGGGCAACACAGGTCCAAATTGCCAGAAGGTTTGGTTGTACACCAATGACAGTAGCCAGGCTGATTCAACGGTACAGGCAGACAGGGAGGACACAGGACAGGCCTAGAACCGGACGACCCCGAGTGACAACACCACTGGAAGACGGTCAGATACGGCTCATTCACCTGCGAAACAGATTCGCAACGGCGACGGCGACGGCAGCAACAGCGTTGCGACATCCCATTAGCCAACGTACAGTACTACGATGACTTCGTGCTGCTGGAATCCGAGCGTATCGTCCTTTCCTAGGAATGGTACTGACTGCTGAACATCGACGCCTGAGACTCCGATGGGCGAGGCAAGTTCGACGCTGGCAAGTGAGAAATTGGCGTCGAGTGCCGTTTACTGATGAAAGTCGGTTTAACTTGTTTCGAAATGACGGCAGAGCACGAGTTTATCGACGCAGAGGGGAACGTTTGGCTCCGTCGTGTATTCGAGAGGTCCATCCATTCAACGGGGGAGGTGTCATGGTGTGGGGCGGTATTTGTGGAGATCAGAAGACTGATTTGGTGATTATACAGGGAAACCTGAACGCTGTGCAGTACAGAGACCAAGTGTTGCTGCCAGTTGTGCTTCCGTTCTTACAAAACCAACAGCAGGGGACATTGTTTCAACACGACAATGCCAGGCCCCATGCTGCAAGACTGACTCGGAACTTTCTAAACCAACAGAACGTTGACGTTTTGCCCTGGCCTGCCCACTCACCCGATATGAATCCTATTGAATACCTGTGGGACCATCTTCACAGACAGATTAGAGCACGCCATCAGCCTCCCGTCAACAGACAAGAATTGCAGCAGGCCCTGAGAGACGAGTGGCAACGGATTCCAGTCCACGTCATCAGAAGACTGAGGTCATCGATGAGGCGGCGTTTCACAGCATGCATTGAGGCAGCTGGAGGTCATACACGCTATTGAAGGCAACTGTGTCGACAATAAACTTGTAGTGTGTCTGACAATTTTTTGGTGACATTTCAGACAACTTTTGAAAGTGAAATTTCTTACCCCACTATTGTTTACCTTGAGCTTACATTATCTGTGATTGCACAATTTCATTCAAACTGTGGTTGATCAATCATTTGTTACCCCTCCCTATAGATTATATTATAATTCACAACAAAACCTCTTCTTGTTATTTTTTTTATCGATCATGGAACTCGACCTACACTTTCCTTTGCCGCCCAGTTTAGATATCCGCTGACAAAGGTACCGTTACACTGCTGACCTTCAACGTATAGTTGGATAGCAAGAGAGTAAGGAGAATAATTTAGTACAATACAAGACGGGTGAACATATTTGTTTCATATTATAATCTAATAAATTGCCCGCTACTGTAATGTGAGGAAGTTAATAATGTTTTAAAGATTACTTGTTGTATTGGGTGCGTTTTTGATTAGATGCCATAAGCTTTGGAACCTGATGAGCTGATACTTTCTTCGTTGCCAAAGTTTTTGAGATAATGGAATTTGAAATGCCCACTGAACCAGCAATATGACGCTCAGTCAATCGCCGGTCGGTCATCACCATATCGTGGATTATCAGGACGTCCTCTCCCTGATATGCTTAAATTCTGCTGTCCACTTCTTACGTGCTGCATAGGATTGGACATGTCGTCACGTAGTGACGTGGTCACCTTTGGTGTTACTCCCTTTTTCTGCAAGTACAGTAGAACACGGATATAACGAACTACTAGGGACCAGAGAAATCAGTTCGTTATATCCGTTGTTCGTTATACACGTTTTCGCTCGGAAACGTCCGCCATCTTGAATAAGACAAAACACAATACACACGTAACTGCAGCATTGATTTGTATTAGCAGTGATCATTCAACTGATATCAATTTACAACATTCATTTAATAACATTAAATTCATAACATTTTCTGAAGATTGTTATCAAATACATGTACCAAATTTAAACAAATTTATCATTTTTCGATTTACATACGAGATGTGTAGTCTCGCTGTAGAGAGTTCGTTATATACGTAAATTTTATATGATATTATATAGGAGATAAATCGGGGATTTTTTAACAGTTCGTTGTATCCGTTTGTTCGCTATATCCGTGTTCGGTATATCCGTGTTCTACTGTACTTCACGTTCTTCCGGTTTGTCCATTTTCCAAGGTCACAGATTCCTGTTTAATTAAATTGTCATATAAGAACACTTTGCTCAACGGGCTCAAGTTCATGTGGACATACATCTATAATATCATGTATTGTCCACAACAAAATGGAATGGACAGCCTGGATCCTACGGCGACAGTGACAGGACCAGATCGATTTTCTGCTACAATCGCGGTGTTCCTTTTGGCATCATTAGCATCGCTAGAGCGTTGGTCTCAAGTCACACAGTCCATGACGGCTCCGACAACGCTGGCCACAACCCCGTGAGGTGGACAACACGAATAGGAATTATCCATGTAGCTTCGTTTAAGCTGTACATTATAAGAACTAAAGGTGCGACACGTTTCTCAGTGACGTGTTTCTTATGCAACACGTGTTGGGCTGATAGATATGAGACGTCCAGGCCAAAGAATATACAGTTTCGATTATCCGTACCGACGTTGAAAACCTTTCTAAGATAAAAAGGTTTCTTACGAACCACATGCTGGAGAGGTATCAACGTTTTAAGAACACAACTGTACAGTATTGGCTGCATATGCAGGACAAGTACCACCGTTGTGGCACATTTCTACCATAAAAACAGAAACGTGTTTCTTCATCAACGGATGCTGGAGAGGTACAACGTTGTAAAACGTTTCTCAGACCACAATTTACAGTGTTTCTGGATAGGCACCAACGCTGTGGCTGATTCCACCATAAAACAGGAAGGTGTTTCTTTTTTTCTTTTCTTTTTAAACGTTTTTATTGTTCCTTGGAAGGTGTTTCTTACTCAACGCATTCTTGGCAGGTGCCCGCGCTGTGACAAAATTAAAGATGGCAAAGGTGACAATTGTTGTGGTAGTTTTGTTGCTGTGGTGGACTCAAGTGTCCATGGCCTGTACCGAACTTTCAGAGCGACTGTCCAGCGGTGTGTTCCGGAAGCTACGTCTGCTGAGGTCCACCTATGTGGTGTTGTCCTCTCACACCCAGTACCACTGTGCCATGCAGTGCATGTATGATACTATTTGTGCCTCCTTCAACTACGACAACACGACGTCTTCGTGTGAGCTGAACAACGTAACATCAACCACCTCACCTGATCAGGTAGTCAACACACCTGGGTGGATTAACGCCAATGCGGACAGCTTTCCACAGGTACTGTCCTTGTAGGTGACTGAGTGAGTGAGTGAGTGAGTGAGTGGGTGAGTGGACGCGGTGTGAGGTATGTGGACCCATGTACATTTGCTAGTGGGTGAGTGACTGCTGTTATAGACATAGTCTGTTAACAATTGTGTCTGGACCAGCCCGACCTGTGAGTGATAGCATGAGAACGTCTCACGCGATCGGATACGATGACAAGCGATCGGAACAACGTCACAGCCTGACCAACAGATCATCGCTAGATGACTCCTGCCAAGTATGTGTCAACCACTGGTTGGCCTGTCTCAGACTCGATTGTCCGAAATAGGGAATATTGCTGACTGGGGTAAACTTGACAGCCCATTCAGATTAATGATCGTCTGCATAAAATGAGATACATTGTAAACTTTAAACTTGTTGTAGAATAGCCCCGGAAGAAATATACTTAGTCTACAAATTGAACAACAATGTAGTTTACAGTGGTAAACGATGTCCAGGATTTAGTCGAAATATATTTCATGTAATAAATGTGCTTGGCGCCGGTCCTTCGGAAACCCGTGTCTGTTTATGGGAGTAAAAGATTATCGTTTAAGTAACTTGTGTGCTATTTATACGATGGAAAGAACATCATAATCATAATTTAGTTACAGGTTTGGATATTTCGTGCACGTACGAGTAATACCCTTTGATTGTACGTCATATTTAACATTCATATCTGAATAATAAAGAGCTACCTTTCTGTTATCAAGGTTCATATCAAGACATACATGTATACCCCTTTAGCAGTGCAATACACAGATACGTAAACAAAGAGGCCCTTAATTGTTCATATGAACGATGATCAGGCTGGTCGTATCTGCGTGTCATTGTGTGGGTGATGCTTAAAGTCAACATGCATAATATAGAATTAGATGCAAGGCAAAGTAAACATGCTATATATCATAACGGGACAAATTAATAGGACAATACATACAATAACAATGAATGTGATAGGGTCTGTCTGAGGTATTAATCCACAACAGTTCGTTATAAAGGCCATAACAACGTAAACAGGTTATCTGTGAGTGGGAAATGATCTTGTGTGTGAGTAAGTATGGTTCAAGCCTCTTTTAGCAATTTCCCAACAATATCACGGCGGGGGACACCAGAAATGGGCTTCACACATGTAGAGAATCGAACCTGGGTCTTAGTCGTGAGGAGCTAGCACTTTCACCACTAGGCTACTCCGCCGCCCAAGTTGAAAATAAAAAACGAACCTTTAGATTTGATGATGAGTTTGAGCTTCACGTAGAACGATTTGACCTAAAGATATGAACATGATCTATTTAGCAACATAATGCCCTTCCACACTGATGTACGTTTGCCAAAGATGTTGGGAATCATTTTATGTCTCAGATTTTTTGGCTGTTTAAAAAGTTCTCCACAGGTGCTATGACGTCCGAGTCGTAATGGATTCCGGATAGGTAAGGTTAAATGAGGTTTAATGTCGTGTCCAAGATTATTGCGCTTAGCAACGTGCATGCACTCATTAAAAACATTATACACCCGACCTTTATCTCAATGAAAATGTCAAATGTGTATACTATGACGCCACTACCGGCTACCTCCTTCCACAAAATGGCGTTCTACCAGACAGTAGCATGCGGGATGTTCAATCGTACTTCACCCCCCGCCGCATTTAGGCGATTTTACTCTTACAAGAAAGGATGTGTCGTGTGATTTGAGTATCAGATTCATGTCTGAACGCACTGACATACGAAAAAAGACAGAGATTCTCTTGGGACTGTATTTCTAAACGCACTGTCATATGAAGAACCGTATTTCTAAACGCACTGGGATGCGGAGAACCGTATTTCTAAACGCACTGGCATACGAAGAACCGTATTTCTAAACGCACTGGCATGCGAAGAACCGTATTTCTTAACGCACTGTCATTCGAAGAACCGTATTTCTAAACGCACTGGCATACGAAGAACCGTATTTCTAAACGCACTGGCATGCGAAGAACCGTATTTCTTAACGCACTGTCATACGAAGAACCGTATTTCTAAACGCACTATCATGCAAAGAACCGTATTTCTGAACGCACTCACATACGAAGACATAGAATCATGACGTTGTGGAACTACTTTTCTGGACACACTGACATACGAATAGACATAGAATCATATTTCTGAACGCACTGTCATGCGAAAGAAATACAGTCCACCAATACAGACACAAAATGGCGTTTCATCTGAAACAAGGCTTTTATGCGTTATAGATAAAAAATGGGTTGCGTGACCTTATCATCCACATGTCTGGAGAACAAGCTTAACACGATGTTTATGTAGGATTCCTATGTATGTGTTTCAAGTCATGCCGAATCCTGCAATAACGCGTTCCTTGAAGGATCAGGTGAGGTGATGTGAGGTGAAATTGGGTTTAACGTCGCGACACGCATGCACGTGGGTGTTGGTGTGTCTGCTTGTACTAGTCCGGACTGATGCCAACTTACAGTGCTAGCTCACTAAGATACCATGCCACAGTTTAACATGAATACCCAACTCAGACACATCATACTGACTCCGAGCAGACCAGTCCTTGTGTTGGCCCCTTAATGCCGAACAGGTACTATCTTTTAACGCCTATTGGTATGACGCGGCCGGGAATAGAACCCCGGACCTTCCGCTCACCGGGCGAACGCTCTTCCTCTAGACCACGGAGACGGTCGGAAGGATCAGGAGCTACAGTCTATCAAACTGGAAATAACAGCGACAAAACCCTTTCCATATTCATAAGAAATCTTTGCTTAAAGCAATGTCGATTGTTCGATCTGACTATATCATGAACATGTGTTTATAAATTACTATCAAATAGTGATGATACCAGATATTCGCGAAGACAGTATCCTACCCCACCGGTGGCACCCGTCACAAACACATGCAAAAGCAGGTCAATTTTTCACCTGAAAAAAACACACAGGAACATATGGTACAAGTCAAAATAGGAAATTGCATCATTTCAGTCACTGATGCGTCAAACATCGACAAAAAATAATTATTCGACAAATATGTAATCTTTATATTTTCAGCAACTCTTTTATTACAGGGGCGGTCGGGTAGCCTCGCGGTTAAAGCATTCGCTCGTCACGCCGAAGACCCGGGTTCGATTCCCGACATGGGTACAATGTGTGAAACCCATTTCTGGTGTCCCCCGCCTTGATATTGCTGGAATATTGCTAAAAGCGGCGTAAAACCAAACTCACTCACTCACTTTTATTACATTTATTCTAATCTCCCCGTGGGGATGCTGGGTTGGGATCGGTCCCAAGCAACCCACGCTGATAGTAAGAAAACAAAAACAAACATTTACTCTACTTTCACTACTCAAACACCACTAGCGTTAGAGCAGGGTATATAACGACCTCACATGGTTTATGTCGTAAACATCGTCAGCACTTCGGGGGCACGGGCTAGCCCACTCGTCAAAGAGACAATTTGATGGACAATTTAGTTACGTTACGTACATCATATTAATAATGCTGTGTAGACACTGGACACTGGACAAATCTTATCTACCGTATATGAATAGGTTGTGACACAAGGAACAGAAGGTCATGAACTTATCGTATTTGCATTCTGATTGAGCAGTGAACTTGTTGAAACGATACGAATAAGTTGACATACTCTTCGGGACCTGGTCCACAAAGTGTTCTTGGAACTTCGACATTCGTAAGCCTATAATACTAACTCTAGAGTTTCGACAGTCCGTAAGTCTGCGAATGCTTATATATTTTATGGATATCTAGATCACTATTAGTTGTGCGATTCCTAAAGGCATATTGGTATTGAAACCATTTTAGTTTAGCGATGATCGTTGCTCTGAACGCAACATAATTATATGTTTTCAATTAATCATCCCTCATTTTCAGTCAATTTCATTTTCCAATACTTTTTCCTGCGAACCTTTTCCTTTTCCTTTAAATTGTTCACGAACTTTGAATAAAATATGCTGCATCCTTTATCCCGATTAAGATGTTACTTAAAAGTACGCTCCTATTGGTGAAATCAACTCTGCGAATAAAAGACAATTGTGTTGTTTGGTTGGAACCTTTCAATAGATTCAAAATAAACTCAAAAACGTACCATCGTATTTCAGAAGACTATTGACAATTTAAACATTGCTTTCAAATTGTGCTTATGTAAAATTGGTTTATTTTCTACTTTTGTCAATGTTTATTGTGTGCGAATATCTCTTCATTCTCTTTGGTTAAGTAACTGTAAAATTTCCTTGACTCATTCATAAACATCGATATCTGATTGTATGTAAAAAAATTATTTTTAAATATCTCTGTCGGATGCAGTTTTGGGTTTTCGATGTACCTTTTTATCTATGATAATATGTTTGAAATGTTTCTGATATCACAGTATGGTCATTCTGAGCCCATGTCATAACATTTCATTTAATCCTGTCGGGTTTACTCTACCAAATAAAGGAGAAGCACGTGAAGGTTCGTTATAATATCAGATTTAGCATTAGGAAGTGTTATAAAACGATGGTTAAACGCGGGTAAAACCATTAACTCTTTACTGTTGTTATCTTTCCAAATGGCCTCAGGTCCTGACGAGACCATAACCGAAAACTAGCCGATTGTAATGATTTTGTTTATTTAAATGTATCACAAAAGTTGGTCATGGATGCGTACTGTTCTTCGATCGCCAATGAAGTTTATATGTATATAAAGACTTCGGTGGCTGATAGTGAAAACATGGCAGTCCGATTCCACGACATCCTAGACCTTCCGGTGAATGATGTTCTTCAAGAATATTAGCATCCAAGTATTCCACACGTACTGTATACCCGCCTCCATGGTCTAGTGGATAGAGCGTCTGCCCGAAAAGCAGAAGGTCGGTGGTTCGATCCCCGGCCGCTTCCTACGTTAAAATACGTTAAAAGATGGCTCTTGTTGTTACCCTCGCTAAAGGGAGATAATACTGGTCGGTCTGAAGTCAGTACACTGTGGCTTAGAGTAT